CAGAACAACAACAACAACAAACCCTGGACCAGATGACTTTCCAGTAGAATTCCACAAAACATACAATAAAGAGTTGGTACCAATCCTGTTGTAAGTATTCCAGACAATCGAGAAAGATGAAACTCTACCCAAATCATTTTATGAAGCCAACAACACATTGATATCCAAACTGGTTAAAGATCCAGCAAAGAAAGAGAACTACAGGCCAATATCTTTACTCAACACAGATGCTAAAATTCTCAACCAGATTCTAGCAAACCAGGTCCAACAACACATCTCAAAAAACATCCACAATGACCAAGTAGACTTCATCCCTGGGATGCAGGACTGGTTCGACATTTGTAACATGCTTAAATACATCAACAGATGTGAAAGCAAAAACTACACAATTATATCATTAGATGCAGAAAAAGCTTTCGATAAAATCCAGCACTTCTTCTTGATAAAAACCCTCAAACATCTAGGCTAGATGGAACACACCTCAAAATAGTAAGAGCCATCTATGAGAAACCCACAGCCAACATACTACTAAACAGACAGAAATTGGAACCATTTCCTCTAAAAACTGGATCAAGACAAGGCTGCCCACTCTCACCCCTCCTGTTCAACATAGTATAAGATGTCCTAGCTAGAGCAATCAGAGAAGAGAAGGAAATCAGGGGTTTCCAAATAGGAAAAGAGGAAGTTAAGTTATCCCTCTTTGCAGATGACATGGTTCTATACCTTGAAAACCCAAGAGAATCAGTCAAAAACCTCCTTGTACTGATAAAGGACTTTGGCAAAATCTCAGGGTATAAAATAAATGTGCAAAAGACAGTTGCTTTCCTATACACCAACAATAAACAAACAGAACCCTAAATAAAAAGCACAGTCTCATTTACAATAGCCACAAAAAAAAGAAAGATCTTGACATCTTCCTAACCAGAGATATGAAAGACCTTTACAATGAAAACTATAAAACACTGCTCAAAGAAGTCAAAGATGAGACAAACAAATGGAAAAATATTCTATGTTCATGAATTGGAAGAATCACCATTGTTAAGATGTCCATTCTACCCAAGGCAATCTACAGATTTAACACAATACCTGTTAAAAATTACCAGCAGCATTCTTCTCGGATCCAGAAACAACATAAGAATTCATTTGGAAACTTAAATGACCATGAATAGCTAAAACAATCCTCAACAAAAAAACCCAAACCAAACAAAACAAAACAACAAAGCAGGAGAAGACTTTAAACTTTATTATAAAGCTACAATAATCAAAACAGCCTGATATTGATACAAGAACAGGCATATAGACCAATGGAACAGGATAGAGATTCCAGAAGCAAAAACTCAATTTCTCAACCAATTCATCTTCGACAGAGCCTCCACCACCAACCACTGGGGAGAGGAAAACCTATTCAGTAAATGGTGCTGGGAAAACTGACTGACCACATGCAGAAGATTAAAACAAGTCCTCTACCTATCACCATACACAAAAATCAACTCTAAATGGATCAAATACCTAAATACAAAACCTCAAACTATAAGGACCTTAGAAAACGCAGGAGGCTGGGCTCGGTGGCTCAGCCTGTAATCCCAGCACTTTGGGAGACCAAGGTGAGTGGATTGCCTGAGCCTGCGAGTTCGAGACCCGCCCAGGCAACTTAGCAAGACTTCATCTCTACAATTAAAAAAAAACCAAAAAACTAGCCGGGCATGGTAGCGCGTTCCTGTAGTTTCAGTTACTTGGAAGGCTGAGGTGGAAGGATTGCCAGAGCCCAGTAGGTGAGGCTGCATTGGCCGGGAGCAGCCACTGCACTCCAGTCTGGGCAACAGAGTGAGACTCCAATTGGAAAAAAAAAAAAAAAGAAAACACAGGAGACGCCCTTAGGGAAATTGGAACTGGCCACCAATTCCTGGTGAAAACCTCAAGTGCCCAGGTCATAAGAGATAAGATAGACAAGTGGGACCTCATCAAACTGACAAGCTTCTGCAAAGCCAAAGAAACCATTGAGAGAGTAGGGAGACAGCCCATAGCCTGGGAAAAAATATCTACCAACTGCTTAGCTGACAAAGGCCTAGCATCTAGGATCTACAAGGAACTCAAATGTGCCAAAAAGAAAAAAACAGTCCCATTACAAAGTGGGCAAAAGATATGAATAGACACTTGTCAAAAGAAGACATATGAGCAGCCAACAGATATATGAAAAAATGCTCAGCCTCACTAGTTATCAAGGAAATGCAAATTAAACCCACACTGAGATACCACCTAACTCCAGTCAGGATGACCATCATCAATAACAAAAAAAAACAACAGATGCTGGAGAGGATGAGGGGAAAAGGGAACACTTTTACACTGTTGATGGGAGTGTAAACTAGTATAGGCTCTGTGGAAAACAGTTTGGTGATTCCTAAAAGATCTAAAAATTGGCCTCCCTTAAGATCCTGCAATCCCCCTATGGGTAGTATACCTAGAGGAACTCAAATCACTCTATGAAAAAGACACCTGCACACACATGTTTATTGCAGCATTATTTACAGTAGCAAAAACATGGAACCATCCATGCTGCCCATCAAAAGAGGACTGGACAAAAAAAAATGTACATATACACAATGGCATATTACACAGCCATAAAGACAGACAAAATTATGAACTTCACAGCAACTTGGATGAACTTAGAGTCTATAATACTGAGTGATGTATCATAGAAACAAAGAACCGAGTATCACATGTTCTCATAGGCAGACCTAGAACAACTATCGTAATACTCTAAGGAAGGAATTGGTAGTAGTGGGAAACTGCCAGGTGATGGTGGGGGCGGGATTGTCAGTAGTGGGAAACTGCCAGGAACAGGGGCACACCTCATCAACAAGGGTACCTGCATAATGAACATTTGTATACCTAATATGTATTAAATTGAATTGTATCCCACATATTTAAAATAAAAAATTTAAACTAATAAATAAATAACATTATGCTAACTGAAAGAAGCCAGTGACCAAAATACTAACAGACTGCATATTTTATCATTCCATTTATATGAAATGATCAGATTAGGTAAATTTTTTTTTTTTTTTCCAGTTGGAGTCTCACTCTGTCACCCAGACTGGAGTCTAGTGGCCACTCCGGGCACTGCAGCCTCGACCTGCTGGGTTCCAGTGATCCTTCCGCCTCAGCCTTCCAAATAGCTGGAACTACAGGCGCGCACTATCACACCCGCCCAATTTTTTTGATTTATGAGCTCTCGCCAAGTTGCCCAGGCGGGTCTCGAACCCGCGGGCTCAGGTAATCCACCCACCTCAGCCTCCCAAAGCATGGGATTACAGGCTGAGCCACCGAGCCCAGCAAATTAGGCAAATTTATAGTGACTGGAAGCAGATCACTGATTGTCTTTCTGGTAGTGGAGCAATGGGAGTGGAAGGCAGGGAGGAGAGAATAAGGTGTGACTACAAAAAAATTATTGTCACTTTTATTTTTATTATTATTATTATTTTTTTTTGAGTTGGAGTCTCACTCTCTCACCCAGGCTGGAGTGCAGTGGCACACTCACGGCGGCCACCCCAGCGTTGACCTGCTGGGCTCCAGTGATCCTTCCGCCTCAGCCTTCCAAGTAGCTGGACCTACAGGCTCACTCTACCACTCCTGGCTAATTTTTCTGATTTACTGTAGAGTCGAGGTCTCACCAAGTTGTCCGGGCTGGTCGAACACACCGCCTCAGGCAATCCAATCGTCTCCACTTCCTAAAGTGCTGGGATTACAGGCTGAGCCACCGAGCCTGGCCATCATTTTTATTTTTGAGCAGCCTAGGCAATGTAGTGAGACCTTGTCTCTATACAGAAATTAAAAAATGAACTGATTATGGTGGTGCACGCTTGTTATCCCAGCTATTGAGGAGGCTGAGGTGGAAAGATCACCTGAACCCAGTAGGTTGAGGTTGTGGTGTACTGTAATCATGTCACTGCCCTCCAGGCTAGGCTACAGAGGGAGACCCCAGTTCAAAAACAAAACAAACAAACTAAAGAAATATATAAAGCCGACTAGCTGGCCTTTGGACCAGCTTCTTTCTTTTTTATGGCTCAGTGGCTCAGCCTGTAATCCCGTGCCTTGGGAGGCTGAGGTGAGTGGATTGCCTGAGCCCTCACGTTTGAGACCCGCCTGGGCAACTTAGTGAGACCTCATCTCTACAATAAGTCAAAAATTAGCCGGGCGTGGTAGTGCGCGCCTGTAGTTCTAGTTACTTGGAAGGCTGAGGCAGAAGGATCATTGGAGCCCAGCAGGTCGAGGCTGCGGTGGCTGGGAGTAGCCGCTGCATTCCAGTCTGGGTGACAGAGTGAGACTCCAACTCAAAAAATATATATATATACATACATACATATATATATATATATATATACACATACATACATATATGCATATATATATATAATTTAACGTTTTTTTTTTTCTTTTTTAGAAAGCCAGTCAAATTTAGCAGTAAGCAGTGGGGAGTTATATGCCAACTTTAGAGATACTAATCTTTTTTGTTGGTTTTTTGAGTCGTGGTCTCACTCTGTTGCCCAGACTAGAGTGCAGTGACACACTCATGGCCACCACAGCCTTTATCTACTGGGCTCAGGGGATCCTTCTGCCTTACTCTTTCAAGTAGCTGGAACTATAGGCATGCGCTACCACACCTGGCTAGTTTTTTGATTTACCTTCTTGCCTCCTCCTCCCAAAGTGCTACAATTACAGGCATGAGCCACCGTGCCTGGCAACACTAATATAATAAGTTCTAATAACCCACTTCCTTTGGGCCAGCTTCTTTCTTTTTTATGGCTGAATAATCTATTGTGTTTTTGTGCCACACTTCCTTTATCCATTTACCTGTGAACTCTTTTTTTTTTTCTCAATGCAACCACCTGTCAATGTCTATAAACTGTTCTTAAAGGTATTTGACAATTGCCAACTAGTATTTTAGAAATCCTTATTAATGTTTTTAATATATTTAACACAATCTAACTCTTTTTTTCTAGGTAATTTATCCTCAACATTCCAAACTTACTGATAAAGAAGTAAGTAAACCTATTGCTCTGTATAGTCTATTTTATTTCTGTTTGTTTTTTATTGGTTATGTGTGTGTGTCCAGCATATATAGCTTTTGTTTTCTTTTTCAGAAAACCAATATTTGCTATTTGTCTTTTCCAGATTCAAATTCAGGTAACTATTTTTCATGTGGTGTTTCTGTCACATTGCTTATTAAGAATACTGGTTATACTTTTAGTGCTTTAAAATTGATTGAAATAGCATATTATAATGCAAACACAATTTCAGCCAACAGATCAGTGATTTTGATTTCTAGTTTAATGATACCTAGTCATGCCACTGTTGATTTCAGCTGGTTCAACTTTTAAAATAATCGTTATGGTGTGATGAGGTAAGCCACCTGGGAACATTAAATAATTGAAATAGTGAAGAGATTGAAAATCAGTGACATTGGTGTGTTTAGGATTTATGCAGTTTGTAATTCATGTAGTGTGTAGTTTACTTGTAGTTCAGAGTTTGAGAGCTTGCCAGGAACTCTGCAAAAGCAATGAGTATGAAAAAAAAAAATCAGGGTAAATCCAGTTAGGAAGCAGGGTCATCAATTATTTGCAATGGTTTATATGGGTTAATAGATGTAAAGCACTTGGAATAGTGCTTGGTGTATAGAAAAACCATAAAAGTTGTGCTTATGGTTAAGCTTGGTTTTGCTTATCTTTTTCAAACTCTCCTTTTGTGTGGTCCTAATCGTTGACATCTTTCAGGTTACTGCTCTTGTGTTTCACTTTCAAAACAATTTTTTTGTCTTATAGTGATCAGAACATTTAGCTTAGGCCACACACAGTTATAACCTTATAAAGCAGAGACACTCCAGTTCTCTTTCCTTTTGTGGTTACATCTAATATCCTGTTAATTTAGTTCAGTTAATCTGATTGGGAAGATTTGACATTAAATTTTTTTTTAATTTAGCATTTTCTCCTTTCTGTAGAAATGCATTCAGAGGGTTTTCCCTGTGCATTTAGAACTCGTCTTTGGTGAAATATGTGAAAGAAAAGTGATATTTTGGTAAATTAGATATTATTGCCAGAGATTCCAGTAGGGTTTATGTTCAGATTGAGATTATTTAAATATTTTAGTGGTTTTTTTTGCCTATTAATAAAATAATGATAAAGGTGTCTTGTAGAATCTATCCTCATTTCAGTTAACAATTTTCCTAGCAAAATCTGTACATACAGTTCTGACTATATTGGATTGGATTGGGTTTCCAGGACTCAGGATAAACCAGTTGGATTGTAAATTGGAGTCCATGTGAATTGTACTGCATACTCCTCTCTTTCAGACCATAGCTGGTTGTCATGGCTCTCTCTCTTTTTCACCTCTCTACACTGAGCATGAAGGGGATCAGAATTTGCCATCCCCAAATATACCACTTTGGCATAAGAATTATTTTGAGGGGAAGGCAATTGAGAAGCAGCAGATGCAAAAAGAGCCCTTTACTGTCCCCCTATATGCCTAAAAGCAGGACATAAATTTCTCTTTGTGGAGGTGTCCTCCCTCCATTTTTTGTACCAGGAAGAGGAGGACACTTCTGAATCACCAGAGAAGACTATTATCCCTGGAGATGGTACCAACTTTAGTTTGCACAAGTAAACCTTACTAAAATAACTCTTATCTTAGTTTCCCCCATGTATTTGTTTATTTTATTTTAAGTTTTTTCTTTCCCCTGAAAATGTTATACAAGCCAATTCCCCATGTATTTGCTTTCCTAAAATTTATATCCATAGAAGCCCAAATCTTTTTTCCTGTGTCTAATCACTTATCTGCAGTTTATCACTGTATATAAACTCCTGCATCTAACTGTCTCTTTGGGTTTTTACTTTTTTTTTTCCCTGTGAATGCTTGATACACATGTGAACCAACTCTTTTCTCTTGTTAAACTGTTTCTTGTCAATTGTTTTTGTTTGTTTTGTTTTGTTTTTGATTCGGAGTCTCACTCTGTTGCCCAGGCTGGAGTGCAGTGTCATGCTCACAGCCACCGCAACCTCGACCTGCTGGGCTCAGGCGATCCTTCTGCCTGAGCATTCCAGGTAGCTGGAACTACAGGCATGTGCCACCACGCCCCACTAATTTTTTTTTTTTTATTGTTGAAACGAGGTCTTGCCATGTTGCTTAGGCTGTTCTCAAACCAGTGGGCTCAGGCAATCCTCTCCCTCTGCCTTTCAAAGTGCTGGGATTACAGGCGGGAGCCACTGCACCCGGCTTCTTTTCAGTTTAATTTATAGATTCCAGTCATTGAAACTAAGAGCGTAGAGGAAAAGTCTCCTCTCAACCCGACCTAAACATCAAGGCTAAGAAGTTAATTCTGTGGCCTTTGTTTTATTTTGTTTTGTTTGTTTGTTTGTTTGAATTGGGATCTCACTCTGCCACCCAGGCTAGAGTGTAATAGCACAGTCATGGCTCACCACAGCCCCAATCTCCTGGACTTAAGAGATCCTTTGGCCTCATTCTTCTGAGTATCTGGGATGACAGGCATACATCACCAATTTTTTGATTTTTTTGTTGAGATCAGGTCTCACTGTGTTGCCTAGGCTAGTCTTGAACTCCTGGGCTCAAGTAATTCTCCCACTTCAGCCTCCCAAAATACTGGGATTATAGGTGTGAGCCACTGTGCCCAGGTTATTTTGTTTGTCTGTTTGTTTTTATTTTTGTTTTTTGAGACAGGGTTTCACACTGTCTCCTCGACTGGAGTGTAGTGGTGTGATCTCAGCTCATTGCACTTTAACCTCCTGGACTTAAGTGATCCTACCATCTCAACTTCCCGAGTAGCTGGTACTACAGGTGCACACCACTACACTTGGTTAATTTTGAAATTTTTTTGTAGAGAATGAGGTCTTATTGTGTTGCCCTGACTGGTCTTGAACTCCTGGGTGCAAGCAGTCCTCCTACCTTTGCCTCTCAAAGTGTTGGGATTATAGGCATGAGCCACCATGTCCAGCCTTCTGTGGTGTTTAGACAGCCTTTTTATTTATTTATTTATTTTTAATTTTAAAGATGTAAGGTACAATTCAGGGTTAGTTACATAAGTCGTCATTGTACAGGTAAAATTTGGGTACCCTTATTGATGTTATGTGCCCCTCCCTTCCCTGGCAGTGTCTCACTACTGCCAATCCCTTTCTTATAGTATTATGATAACTGTTCAGTGTCCATGTAGTACTCAGATCTTTGTTTCTGTGATAAATCACTGAGTATTATAGACTCTGATTTCATCAAGTTACTGTGAAGTTCATAATTTTGTGCCTTTATGGCTGTATAATATTCATCATGTAAATGTACCACATTTTCTTTATCCAGTTCACTTTCAGTGGGCAGCATGGTTGATTCCATGTTTTTGCTATTGTGAATAATTCTGCAATAAACATGTGTGTGCAGATATCTTTTTTATAGAGTGATTTGAGTTCCTCTGGGTATATTCCCAGAAGGGGGGTTGCTGGGTCATATGGGAGGTTAATTTTTTAGACCTTTTAGAAATTGCCACACTGTTTTCCCCAGAGGTTGTACTAATTTACACTCCCATCAACAGTGTAGAAGTTTTCCCTTTTTCCCACGTCCTCTCCAACATCTGTTGTTTTTTGAGTTGTTGATGGCCATCCTCACTGGAGTTAGGTGGTATCTCAGTGTGGTTTTAATTTGTATTTCTTTGATAATTAGTGAGGCTGAGCATTTTTTTCATGTATCTGTTGGCTGCTCGTATGTCTTCTTCTGAGAAATGTGTATTCGTATCTTTTGCCCTTTTTTTTTTTTTTTTTGAGTTGGAGTCTCACTCTGTCGCCCAGACGAGTGCAGTGGCCGCTCCCGGCCACCACAGCCTCGACCTGCTGGACCCCGGCGATCCTTCCGCCTCAGCCTTCCGAGTAGCCAGAATTACAGGCATGTGCTACCACACCCGGCTGATTTTTTGATTTATTGTAGAGATGAGTTCTCGCGGCCAAGGCGGGTCTTGAACCCGCGGGCTCAGGCAATCCACTCACCTCAGCCTCCCAAAGGCGCGGGATTACAGGCTGAGCCACCGAGCCCGGCTTGCCCATTTTTTTTAATAGGGTTGTTTGTTTTTTCCTTTTGGCATGTTTGAGTTCCTTGTAGACCCTGGATGTTAGACCTTTGTCAGGTTTATAGTTGGCAAATATTTTCTTCCATTCGGTGGGCTGTCTCTCCATTTTCCTGATGGTTTCCATTGCTTTGCAGAAGATTTTCAGTATGGTAAGGTTCCATTTGACTTATCTTTTATGGCATTCGCTTTTGGAAAGTTGATCAGGAATTGGTTCCTATTCCAGTTTTCATAAGTGTGTTTCCTATATTTTCTTCTAGGATACTTATAGTTTGAGGTTTTACACTTAGGTTATGGATAAGTAACAAGAGTTTGTTGTGGACTGGCATCAATCCATGGAATACACTTTGAGAAGCTCTGGTCTAAATTACTACTTCCTAGCAATCCAACCACCCTAATCACAGGGAGAGTGACTACATAAGGCCAAGGGAGGGGGCTCTTGAAGTTTTATGTTTTGCCTTCTTAGTCTTATATATTTTGATCCTCTCTATAGTTGTGTTTATGCTACTATAGAAATAATATTTTAAAATTATCTCTTGCTTTCAGAAGAATATTCAAGCTTTTTTTTTTCAAATATTTAAGTGATATTTTTGGTATGGGACGATAGCTTCTGTCTACCTTTAGCTTTGCATTCTCTGAGTTACACAGGTAAAGGAAGCTTTTATGAAATACTCTGTACCTTTGATAATTTTAACATGAGAGGAGATCTCTTCCTGCCATTCCACATTACATTTATGTAGGAGGAGCCATGAGTAAATGAACTGACTTCTTATCTTGAATGAACTGTATGGCACAGAGGCTAGTGAGTTCACGAACTTTGTGATCCAAGAGACCTTTTTCAAAGGGGCTTTTGTTTTTTGAATGAGGAAAAGAAGTTTCAACCTCTGCTTCAATTGGCAGTGAAATGGCATTTTAAAAAATAGCTTTATTGAGCCGGGCTCGGTGGCTCAGCCTGTAATCCCGTGCCTTTGGGAGGCTGAGGTGAGTGGATTGCCTGAGCCCACGGGTTCGAGACCCGCCTGGGCAGCGAGACCTCATCTCTACAATTAAAAAAAAAAAAAAAAAAAATCAG